ATGTCCCGGGTTCCATCACCAGCAGGCTCGTGCCCACACACAGACACACGCATGCACACACATAGATACACACAGGGTAGGTAGGCAGCTTTTAAAATCTCTTTAAGGCTTTAGCCAGAGGAGAAGCCAGTTTTGGATTCCCTAGGCGTGGGAGTCGTGGGTGGTTTGGCCCGGAGAGACTTGCAGACTAGCAGATTACTACCGGTGGAGGAGGTGCTTTTGGGTCTTGAAATTTATCTCCAGCCTCTGAGTCCTCAAAAAATAAGAATCTACCCGAGAGAAAGGCTAGTCCAGGAACTCCCCTTTTCCAAGGTTGGGGTTCTGCAGTCTCTGCTCTGTGTGTGTGTGTGTGTGTGCAATTAAGAAAATTTTAGGGGCTGGAGAGGTGGCTCAGAAGTTAAGAGCACTGGCTGCTTTTTCAGAGAACCACGGTTCAGTTTTCTGCATCTACACTGTGGCTCATAGACTATCCTTAACTCCAATTCCAGGGATCCAGTGTCCTCCTGTGACCTCTGAGGACACTAGGTACACACATGGAGCACAAGCATACATTCAGGCAAAACACTCATGCATCCAAAATAAAAAATTTTAAATGTAAAAAAAATTAATTATTATTATTGGGGGGAACCAAGAATTCAAGGTCTCTGGGTAGTGGTGGCACATGCATTTAACCCCAGCCCTTGGGAGTCAGAGGCTGGTGGATCTCTGTGAGTTCAAGGCCAGCCTGCTCTACAGGCAAGGCCACCTTTGTCTTCTCAGTGGGTTCAAGACACCCTGAAGCTATATAAAATCCTGTCTCAGTACAACAGACCTGGCATGTAACTGGGTGAGATGAGATTAGAGCCCTCATAAAAATACTACAAGACACCACGGCAGTCCCCTTCTCTGCCATGTAAGGACACAGCTGGAGATAAGTCACACGGGCAGGAGGTCTCCCCAGAGTCCAGCCTGCTGCTCCAAGACCTGAGCATGTCCAGGAGTCAAAGGTGCAAGGAGAGCCACCTGTCAACAGTGTCTTATCACATCAGCTAAGGTGATGAAGACAGGACTGGCCCCACAGGCGGGAACTATTACGCATCTATCTGGCCCTCTCCTACCTGTTTTGGTAAGAGGACAAAATGGGACCAACTTGGGACTGCTAAGTCAGATGAGTTGACAGTGAAGGGCTCAACTGTCCCTCGATCACTGTGGGAGGGCTGGGTCTGTGAGCTTCCAATGTCAACAGGGTTGGGGACAGCAGGGTCACAAGGTGGAGCTCGAGTTAAAAGCTGAAGGAGCAATACAGTGAAACCCGCATGCTTCTCACCTAGACCCACCCTTCTGCCATCTTTATATTTTCTCTGTGTCACACTGTGTAACTAATTAAATCCAGACAGAGAATTTCGGCCTGCAGGCTGCTGGACGGCTCCGTCATTAAAGCATTTGCCGCCAAGCCTGACGACCTGAGTTTGATCCTCACAGGTCGTCCTCTGACCTCCATATGTGCACCGTGGCCCTGGAATGAGCACACACGTGAAATAAATAAGAGTATTAATAATATAAAGAACTTTAGCGTGTATCTTGCTAACAATAGGTCTCTCCTTTTTAAGTGCTAGGAATCTAACCCACAACCTCATTTAAACTAGACAAGGGCTTTACCACTGGACAACATCCCTAGCCTTCTAGGACCTTTTCCATATAAACCTAATGTCAGTACTGCACGCAAAAAAATCCAGCACTGAAATCACCCAAGCCTTGGGTTCCACTCCAAACGCCATATACACAAAAGTCCCTACTCTGGACTGGAGAGATGGCTCAGCAGTTAAGAGCACTTGATGCTCTGGCAGAGGACCTGGGCTGTGTTCTTAGAGCCCACGTGGTGGCTCACAACCATCCCTAACTCCTGTTCCAGGGGACCAGACGCCCTCTTCTGGTCTTCGCATGTAGTGCATACACATACATGCAGGCAAATAAGTCATACATATAAAATAAAAATAAATGGATCTTTTTTAATAAGCCCCTACTGTGTGTTTATTTTTTGTTTGTTTTGAGAGTGTCTTGCCACGCTGCCTCAGCTGGTCTCTGACCCCTGGACTAAAGTGAGACTCCCATCTCGGACTCCTAAGTAAACCAGAACCCACATGCCAGGAGGCCTGACTGGGGCACAGACTAAATGTCTAACCTCAGAGTCATTGGACCGACCCTTGTGCCATGGCTTCTCGGGGAGTCCTCCCATACGAACATGACCTTGCCAGGATGCTGACTTCACGCAGGAGACCTGGCCATCCTAAAACCCCAGCATACACACCAGCGTCAAGAAAGCTCTGCTCTCCAGCTCTAAGCAGGACCAGCTTCTGTCCGGACACAGCTGCTTCATAGTTCTCGGCGGGAACTAGGTGTGCCCACCCACCATGCTTCCTGCACTGCCCGCCCCAAGTAATGCCAACGAGAGAGATGAAACACATTCTAATAATATGATCCTACCTCTCCAAGTCCCTGCCCAGGACTGTAAACTGCTGGGGGGTGGGGAGGCAGGCCGGCTAACAGGACGGGACCTCAGCTTGGCTGGCCTCACGCCCACCCACCCCCAACCCTGCTCCCTGAGTCCCCACTTGGGCCTCAGTCTATAACTGTCCCCTCCCACCACCTGGTCCCTGGCCTAGAGGGCACCCAGCCTGCAAGGGGGCCACTACCCAAGTCATCTATGCAGCAGCTGAAGGCTGCCTCCCGGACTCCAGATCCTTCTCAGTAATCAGCTTTGCGGGGCAGAGCCTGCAGCTGCCACAGACAGCCAGGCCTCGCTGGGAAAGGAGCAGACTGGATTAGGGGGAAGTAGTTAACAGAGAATGAAGAGAATGAGGTGGGGGAGAGGCACGTTAAGCCTCTCGAGGGGGGGCAGTGGCTCCCGCCCAACAGAAGTGGGGTGGGCCCTGATCCACCTAGGGACCATGAAGGGAGCCTCCATGTAGGGCATCATCCAGCCACAGCCTCTCATCCCAACCCAGGATTTTCTTCCTTAGGGCTATCCCTGTCCCCCCCCCCCCCCACACACACACAATGTGAGCATCAGAAGAAAGAGCTGGAAATGCCTGAGTCCATTTTAAGACAACTTCTAACACAGACGCCCACGATTGGAAGGCGTGGAAGGGACACACAAAGGAGCCTCTGTCTCCCAGGTCCTCACCTGGGACTCTGCCCACTTGACACTGCTGGCAGGAGTCAGAGACCAGGCTCACAGGTGATGGGCCTGACCTCCAGACGAGAAAACTACCTTACTGTTGGGTGGACTCCCTCAGGACAACTCGGCTGCCACCTTGAACTCCCTGACCGGTACCTCGTCCTCCAAAGTATCCACGAACCTGGGTGTGGTGGCCGTGCGTGCCTGTAATCCTAGGGTTTGTTTTGTTTTTCTTTTAGAATGGGGGAGGCTCATTATGCAGACCAGGCTTGATTTGAACTCACAGAGATCTGTCCTCCTCCAACTCCTGAGTGCTTAGTTAGAATAAAGGTGTGAGTCAGCAGGCTTCGGGAAGCCGAGGCAGGAGGATTTTGAGTTTGAGGTCAGCCTTGAGTACACAGTGGGCTCCGGGCCAGCCCAGGATACATGTCAAGAATCTGCCTCACCAACCAACCAACACCAGAAAATAATCCAAAATGCCCACTTGCGTTAATTATACGAAGGCCCCTGTTTCCATACTGTGACTGACCCTGTTACAGGGTGAGCGTCTCGAAAAACCTTGTAGAAAGTTTCTTAAGAAACTGCTCTACTCCACAGGACCAAGACAGGACTGCACCCCAACAGACACCTTGGTCTAGCTGGAATCTAGAGGAACAGTTTAAAACAGAGCTGGTGGAGGGAGCCCATAATGTCCTGAGAGGAACCCCAAACCCCACCTGCCAGTCACCCCGGGTCTGCGAGCCTCCAGCAGCATCCTGTTCTCCCTGGGTTGAACACAATAGCGTCTCCTCACAGCCGGCTCTGGGCAAGTTAGAAGCCACACTAATGACACAATTAGTCATCCACTTGTCAAGCAAAGAGCCTGAGAGTAGGGGGTCTGGCAGACTCAGCAAAGAGAAAGGCCTGGGCCCAGTCTCACTGCCGCCTCCTCTGTCCCAAGGGCTTCACTCCCGTGTAAACCGTTGTATCCAGAGAGGGACAGAGGAAGCACCGGCAGATGTGCTGACCATACCCACGCCAGCGCAGCAAGCCCACGGCTTCCACGAGCCATCCTGCCTTCAGGATGAAGAACAAAGTGTTAAAATCTGACCGGAGACCAGAGTGGGTGGCCAGGCCTGGAGCTGTGAAATTCCAGTAACCTCGGGCAAGCCAGGATCCAATCTACAGCACATCAGAGAATGGGCAAGGGGCGTGCGATGGGTGCCCTGAAGAAGGCCTAGTCTGCTGAGGGCCGGCTCCTGGGAGATGGGGACTGGGGTGGGGCTGGGGGTGGGAGTGGAGAAGGGGGGCTAGGGCTTCTACTCTTACCTTTTGTTCCACACCAGGTGGACTCATCTGCAACCAGGGGGTGGGGATTGAGGGTGTCAAAGCCTACAAGTAGTTGAAAACGACAATAATATGGTCTCAGTAAGTGCTCTTCTTTCAGTCCAGTCCGCCTGGCCTCACACAACGCCCACATTGCCTCTGGAATCAGGATTTCAAGTTGACACAGGCAACTTCCCTTCTCGCACACCCCATCCCAAAGTAGTGAGTTGTCAGAGTAAGCCAACTCCAGTGCAGATCTTGAAGAAGGGCACGTGTCAGTAGGTTTGGGCACGCGTGGGCAAAGGCGAGGAGAGAGGAGGGTGCAGAGCAGAGTGTCAACGTCCGTGGGAGGCCCGGGAACGCCAGAGCGGGGAGGAAGGGAGGGAGAGAGGCCAGCTCCACTTTGGGGGAGGATGAAGCGTACCGGCCGCAGGAACCCTCCTTTCCTGCCAGCCGCTGGCTCGGCCCTTCCTGCGGAGGTTCAGCCGGCAGGCTCGTGGGTGTCCTACCGGGACCCCACGGCGAACCCGGTGCGTACCTGCCTCCCCTCGTCCGCCGGCTCCTCCGCCACGGGCTCTCTCGGCTCCGCTATGCGCTCGGGCTGGCGCGGCCCCGCGGGTGCGGGCTCCGAGGCGCTGGGCTCGGGAGGCTCAGGCGATGCCGGAGCCCCGGGGGCCTCGGTCGGGGACGCGCGTTCCGGGGCCGGGGCCGAGGCCGGGGCCGCCCCACGCCGCAGCAGCAGCCAAGCGAGCAGCAGTGCCAACGCTGTGGCCAGCGCGGGCAGCGCGGCCAGCAATTCGGCCGGCGCCTCCATCGCGCCGCGGCCGCCGAGTGCCCGCCCGCCGGGACCCCGAGGGAGCCCGCGGCGCCCCGCCACAAGGCCACGCCCCGAGGCGGAGTCCCCCCCAAACCACGCCCCCTCGCGCTCTCCGGGTGCCTTGGAGTCCGGACCTTGGGAGGCTCCAGTCCACCTCTCGCTGGTTGATGCTCTGGGGCACCGGCTCTGCTCATGCTTGCTGAATGCGGTGAAAGGCTCATTGTTCATCGTCTTTAGATTTGGCTTCTTTTCAGCCGTGTGCAAGAAGTACATCTTAAAAAAAAAAAAAGAAGTACATCTTAGAGGTGGTGGTGCAGACAAGTGATCCAAGTGATCCGCGGCACTCGAAGTGGGTTGGGTGCCGGAGTTCAAGGTCTTCCTCAGGTACAGAGTTCTGGGCCATACAAGATCTCATCTCAACAATACCCACTACACACAAAAATACTCATCTTGGGGTACTGGTGATCTGGGCCCTACGGGGGAACTTGTGGGGGCAAATCCAACAAGGCTCATGAAAATTGAACACTAATTCCCTCAAAAGGAAAACAAATCAAAGCGGGACGTGGTGACTCTCGCCCTTGATCCCACAGCCCAGTACTCCAGAGGCAGAGGCAGACGGTTCTCTGCGATTCAAATGCAGTCTGATCTACATAGCAAGTTCCAAGTCAGCCAGGGTTGCATATGAGACCCTGTCTCAAAGGGACAAGGGAAATCTCTCATGACTCCTGGCAGCCATGGCCCACAGCTGTGGCATTCATGAGTTCTTGCTGAGGGCTTCTCATCCTGGCTTTGGCAGTGGGTGGAATGAGGTGGAAAGAAGGGTGTTTTTGTTTTTCCGTGTCTTTCCTAGGGCTCTATTGATCAAAGTGTAAAACGCACTGTAACCAACTGTGTGTTTCCCTAACACTCCCCACCCACCTTTTCATTACTTTGAATAAATACAGGATAGACGAAGTGTGTGTGGGGGGGGGGGGGGGGAGGAAGGACTAATGGAAAACAAACAAACCCAACGGGGCAGGCAGGCGGATCAGTTCAAAGCCAGCCTAGGTTATTCCACGAGTTTGGGTCCAGCCTGAGCTACTTGAGACCCTGTCTCAAAAGAACAGAAAGGAAGTGGGCTCCCCAACCTGGATAGTGGTTCACACCTATAATCCCCACTATTTGGAAAGCCGAGGAGGTCTCGAGGCCAGTTCAAGGCGATCTGAGCAGTCTCAGCTCACGCAACAAAATGGGGTTCCAACTTCGGCCAGATGCTAGACTGGGAAGGAATCTCAAGCACACTTGTGTGAGAGCAAGTGCGCTCCCACTGAGTTACTTCTTCCAGGCCAGAGTGTTATTTTACCTGGAAGAAACAGTTTGTTCACCGCTTGTGAGCTCCAGCTGTGACAGGAAGATCCCTCAGCAACAGGGAGAACTCAATTCTATAGCAAGTCACTGGTGGGTTTTGTTTTGTTTTTTTGAGACAGGGTTTCTCTATGTAACAATCCTGGCTATTCTGGAACTTGCTCTGTGGACCAGGCTGACCTCCAATTCACAGAGATCTGCCTGCCTCAGCCTCCTGAGTGCTGGGATTAAAGGCGTGCGCCACCGCCCGGCACAGCACTGGTTTTAAGAAGCATGTGTCTCCTCTTAGTTGATGGGATAAGCCCAACCATATAATGCAGAAGGGTTGGTGTCTAGGCTCCCCGCTTTTCACTCCTACAGGATGTGAAGCTGAAGTATACCAGCCTTATTTTACTCTAAGACACCCCCCCACCCCACGCACGCGCGTGCGCACACACACACACGCACACACACGGGTGTCCATCACTCCACCACACCCTCTTCTGTTTTTAGTAACAAGGTTTCACTCAACAGCCCAGGATGGCTTTGAACTTGTATTGATCCCTTCCAGAGCTGGGACTACAGATGTAAACTACTACACCCTGCTTCCAAACACAGGTTTGTTTCTTTTATTTTATGAGTGTTTTGTTTTCATGTATGTGTGTGCACCACATGCAATCCTGGTGCCCATAAAGGCCAGGAGAGGGTACTGGATCTCCTGGAACTGGAGTTAAGGATGGCTGGCAGCAACCATGTGGGTGCTGGGAACCAAAGCCTGGTCCTCTGCAAGAGCAGCAGCTGCTCTTAACTAATGAGGCATCATCTCTCTAGTTCCCTAGGCTCGTTTATTTTTAGTCCAATATAATTCTAGCATCCAGGAGATGAAGGCCAGCTGTCTCAAAAACAAACAAAGAAGCAAACTATATAAAATGTATCTTAAAAAGTTTCCCCGAGCCGGGCGGTGGTGGCGCACGCCTTTAATCCCAGCACTCGGGAGGCAGAGGTAGGCGGATCTCTGTGAGTTCGAGACCAGCCTGGTCTACAGAGCTAGTTCCAGGAGAGGCTCCAAAGCCACAGAGAAACCCTGTCTCGAAAAAACAAAAAAAAAAAAAAAACAAAAAAAAAAAAAGTTTCCCCGAGACATGGCTGAAGTGATATTTTATTTGTATTTTAATAAAGCTTGCCTGAAGATCAGAGAGTAAAATATCGGCATTTTTCAGTCTTAACAGACCAGACAGTGGTGACACATACCTTTAATCCCATTAGCCACACTAGTTTATCATAGAAACCAATGGTAGAGATGCACGCCTTTAATCCCAGCCCTAGAGAAGAGTGTAAGAAGGGAGGAGACAGCTGACACACACAATCTCATTCTGAGATTCCTGGAGGCAGGATTGCCATTCTGAATTGACGTAGATCTAAGGGCCAGTGGCTGCCTGTTTTGCTTTTCTGACCTTTAGGTTGAACCCCAATTTCTGTCTCAGGGTTTTTATTAATCTTTTTTTTAAATATTTATTTATTATGTATACAATATTCTGTCTGTCTGTGTGTATGTCTGCAGGCCAGAAGAAGGCACCAGACCTCATTCCAGATGGTTGTGAGCCACCATGTGGTTGCTGGGAATTGAACTCAGAACCTTTGGAAGAGCAGGCAATGCTCTTAACCTCTGAGCCATCTCTCCAGCCTCCAGTTTTTATTAATCTTGTCCACTATGCCTGGCTATAAAATGTATTTTAATGAGGTACTGGAGCCGGGCATGGTGTCAGACGTCCTTAATCCCAGCACTTGGGAGGCAGAGACAGGTGGATCTCTGAGTTAGAGGCCAGCCTGGTCTAGATAGCAGGTTTCAAGACAGCCAGGGTTACACAGCAAGAACTTGTCTCAAGAAACAACAGAAAGTCTGTTCTGCTAACAGAGTATATTCTAGTGACCTTGACTGGAGAGTCAGAAAGGAGGAGAAAACACTGAAAAAGACACAATCCCAAATCCACTTGCTCTATTTGAAGTGATGATCAGGTTTATACCTTGCAGAGCCACAAGCATTTGGCGGTAGAGCCGGAGTGGGAGGGCCAGATTGTTTGGTACTCTGATAACTGTAAGAGACTAGGGTGCTCAGGGCAGCCTGGTTCCTCTGAGGCATTCAGTTACCATGGAGACAGCAGGTTTGGGCAGGTTCCCCCTGGGGAGATTCCTGGGGGATAAGTGTTTCAAGTTCTTGAACTAAACAATAAGACACAGTTGAGCGCTACAAGGAAGGGACCCCACTTTTGGGATGGAGACAGTATATACTGAAATCCGTGTATCATCTTGACAAGGACATGGGGTGTTACGAGGAGCCAGAGCCCAGGTTGAACTCATCAGAATTCATTTCTGTGGTAATGCCACACACAGCTAAGGGACCCACCGCGGCATCCTCACACCTGCCTCCTACACAGCACCCTTACATCTGCTGCATTCCCATCCCAACCCCTTGCCTAAAGCTCAAGGGTCTCCAGCTGTGCAAAGCATTGGCACAGCACAAGCAACTGCCCCCATCTTTAGCTCAAGCCTTTCAGCTGCTCTCCAGATGTGCACAAGCACACAGCTAGGGTGGTTTGCGTCCTTCGGTCTAATGTCTACCTCTGGAGAGAGCTGACTGTGGCAAGGCACTCCCACCTCACCAGCTTCCTGTGAACATCAGCCGCTGCCCACTGAGCCCCACGCAGGCAGGGGCCCAGGCCTGTCCCTGATGTATCTGCAGGCACTAGAAATGCTGCTCAAGGCTTGAAAAACTAGGAACTGGGGATCTGCAACCAAGCAAGACTGGGATGGTGCTTCTGCTGAGGTGGCTTTCTCATCCGGGATGGGACCCTAGGCCCATAAGGGCTAGGACCACAGAGGGGCAACTGTATGGTGTGGGATTCACCAGGCTGATGGTGAATGTTCTGGAAGACTCCACGTGGTGTCTTTTGTTCTGCTCTTTCTTATCAACCCAGCTCTTTGGTTTAATAAGACCAGCTGTGGCTCAGCAGTCTAGTGTTGCTGAATTCTCTATTCTGTTACCGTTCTCGCGCATGCCAAGAGAGGGAGCAGGTGGGAGGTGCAGGCTCCTTATCCAGAGCACTGGGCCACAACTCTACTCAGTCCCTCTGTTTTGCCTTTGCTCTGCTTCCACAGGGGAGCGTATCTGATGGTGTCCAGAGGGACAGTAAGCAGAGACGGGTGCAGAACCGCTGGCCTGGCTAGAATAAACCACACACTTCTTCGCAGGGTGGTCAGGCACCCCGTTTCTGATGATATTGAGTGACTGGGAGGCACCTCTGGCATCCGGGGTGGAGAGGGGAGAACTAGGAGAGCTGCTTTTTCCATTTGAGATTTCTGTACCTCCCAGGCTACTGGCTTTGTGCCTCATCCCGCCCCCTGGTGGCAAAGAGACCTCTTCTTTAGTTGCTTGTTTTATTTCAATTTTTAACTTGTTTTGAAATAGGATCTCATTCAGCCCAGGCTGGGCCTGAACTTGCTCTGCAGCCCAGAGGCTGGCCTTGAACTCCTGATCCACTTGCCTAGCCTCCCTTGTTCTGTGATCCAGGCTAATCTTGAAATCCGGAGCTCAGCTGATCCTCCCACTTTGCCCGTGGCAGCTGTACTACTGGCATATAATACTCGGCGTCTTGTTTTACTAGTTTTTTTTTTTTTTTTTGGTTTTTCGAGACAGGGTTTCTCTGTAGCTTTGGTGCCTGTCCTGGAACTAGCTCTTGTAGACCAGGCTGGCCTCGAAC